GTGGAGGGATCAAGGTCCAATCTGGCGAATTTTCCCTTCTCCTCTGCAGTCAGAGTGTTAGGGTCCGTCTTTTTGATTCCAAGTTTCTTCAGCCTTCTGAACATGATGGGCGCGAAGGTGCGGCTGCCATCCTTCTCGGCCGGGCACAAACGATTGAAGAGGGCCTCGTCTTTCTGGGTGGCCTCGTGGAACATTCTCGCTTCGATCTGTGCGGCTGGAAGGGGTGAGAAGATGATGCAACGTGATGGACTATGGGAATGTGATCGATGATGGAAATTTGATCGATGATGGAAATGTGATCGATGATGGAAATGTGATCGATGATGGAAATGATGGATCGAAGAAGTGATCAGTGGGGATGGATGATGAACGAGAAGATGATGAGACGGAAAGTGTTACCGAGGAGGTTGTTGGCGGCGGTGATGGCGTGGATGTCACCGGTGAGATGGAGATTGAACTCTTCCATGGGAATGACTTGAGAATAACCACCTCCGGCTGCTCCACCCTGTGTCTCGATCAGATTTGTGATTACGTTACGTCGAATCATGACACGATCGAAATGTGTCTACCTTGATGCCAAAGGTAGGTCCCTGTGAGGGCTGTCTCAGACATGCGAACGTCTTCTTTCTCAAGTGAGCTCCCAAACTCTGTGCCAAACCAACAGTAGTGGTTGACTTTCCCTCTCCAAGGGGTGTGGGGTTGATGCCAGTGACGACGATGTACTTGCCGTCTGGTTGATCGTTGAGACGATCCAAAATGGAAAGGTGAACCTGTGATTGTGAGAATGGGACAGTGAGATAAATCATCACTTTGGCTTTCGTCGTGCCGTATGGGGATATCTCATCATCTTGGATTCCGACCTCTCGGGCAACCTATCCAGATTAACATTGAATTCGATCACGTCATAAATAAACCTTTAAGATGTTCTTAGGGGTGACCGCTTGAGAGATGTCGATGTCAGAGGGAACTGGCTTGAGCAGATTCAACTTGATGGGTTCGAAGGACTCCATGTGTATCGATCTGATATAAGACAACGGTTTGTAGAGGTTTGAGTGAATGTGATGTGTTGTCCTTCTCAACGAGATGATCATACGATGACGATCTCCGGTTTGTAATTTCGAGGTTCGATTTCCAAGGACAAAGACGTCATGAGCTGTTGAAAGACACAACCTCTCTTCCAAACCATTCGAACACGAGGATCTTCTGGGGATATTTGACAAATGGTTCGACGATACCGATCGAAGCGAGAGCAGATAGATACATCTCAGGTGGGTAGGCTGAAGATCGTAAGATCCAGCCAGAGATGGTGCTCCACCCACTCATCTCTTCGTTTTATATGTCTATAGCCCAAAATAATGACAAATATCATCCCACAATAACAGAAGCATCCAAAAAAAAAAGGTCGACTACCCGAAGTCTCTCACTTGTTTTCGTGGGGTGATTCGCAAACACCTGTCATGGCGGCTGCCACACGCTAAACTATGGAATGATATTCGGTGCCGAAGGATGTCTGAGTCCCCTGTGTAGAGGGACCTCCCATAACAACTTCGGAATCATCAGAGTCCATCTCAGGCAGCTGAGAAGGCCTCGGGTGTTGAAGAGTCTGGGAACCGCGTGAGGCAGGAAACTGAGCAACGAGCACTAGCCGTTCTGAAAGAGTGTTAGGACACTGGTCCTGAGCAGGATCAGAAGGGTCGTCTGCATTCGGATATCAAACCATTTTTTAAACTTTGTAGAGGGTGGTGTCACAGGTTGAGAGTTGAGTTGACGATGACGATAGAACCTGGAGGTAACAACTGAGAGGGTTGAAGCGTGCATGATCTCGAGTGAGATGGAGGTGTCGATGATGTTGGATCGAGCTGTAGATATTGCCGTGGAATAAATGGAAGGTTGTGTAGATGATGATGTCTGGCCGGTTGTCACCAAAAACATAGCATGAGGATCCACTCGACGCAACCGATTCTCGTAATGTTTTCGACAAAGAAGACGACTGACTCCTCTTTAGAAGAAGAGGGCTCAACAAGATGAGCAGATCGAAAGAGCCATCGCCGCCCTCTCTGGACGAGACGCATCAGCCGATGAAAAGATCCTATCTGCGTCAGTCGAAGACCTGGCCCGCATGATTCGAGATCGACGGGCCACTGTGGCCCAAGTCAGTGATATGAAAATGATGTGAGACATCCACTCACGAGATGGCCAGGTCGTCGGTGCTTTTTCTGAACGAGCTCTCAAAGGACACGCTGAGTTCAATTTCCTGACAGAGGTGATGATTGCAGAAGCAATGAAGCAGGCCAGAGAGATGGATGAGAATCGCCCGAAGAAAATTCCACCTCTTTATGGTATCCCCATGTCCATCAAGGTCGATTCATAATCACATCATCAACCTCACGTGACATCATCCGTAGGATAACGTCGACGTGAAAGGATTCGACACTTGCTACGGTTTCTCCTCTCTCACCTTCAAACCCGCTCAACAAGACGCACACATCGTCCAAGTTTTGAGATCATTGGGTGCCATCTTCATCGTGAAGACCAACGTCCCACAGACCCTGATGGCTTTCGACAGCGACAACCCTGTCTTCGGCGCGACCTCTAACCCCTTCAACAAGAGTGAGTGTCTCTCATCCTCCATCACTCGAAACACATCCACTCCACCACAGAATAAACCGTTCAAAATACATTTTAATGTTTCGAAACAGAATTGATTCCCGGTGGTAGCTCCGGGGGTGAAGCAGCTGTTCTCGCTTATAACGGTGCCGCTTTCGGTTGGGGTTCAGACATCGTGAGTCGGTGTCCTCTCTTCTCACGATTGACCTCTCAGGGTGGCTCGCTCAGGATTCCCGCCGGATTTTGCGGTAATTACGCATTGAAGCCAACACACGGAAGATTTCCGACGGTGGGGTGCTCACCCCACTCGACCAGAGGTGTGACATCATCGTACGACATCTCTACTCTTCTATGCGAATCACATCGTGAAATTGGTCGTTAGGATGTGGAATTGAGATATCGTTCGATCGTGTGATGACATCTCAGGTCAAATCGCCATCGTAGCCGTGGCTGGACCGATGGCAAGGAGTATGAAGGACCTCGAATACGTAACTCGAATTTTCCTCAACGTAGACATCTCTGACATGGACCCTGCCCTCCAGTACTCTCCTTACAAGGACGTGAAAATTCACAGAAAACTGAGGTGAACAGTCTTCGGCTCGTTGTAGTTTGACGCAAAAAAGATTTGGATATTACACGGACGATGGGATCGTCAGATCGTCACCGGCCGTACATCGTTCCATCCAGGTGTAGAAATTTTACCGAAATTTACTTACGCATTCCAGGAAACCGTCGACGCACTGAGAAAAGAAGGCCACGAGGTGATCACGTGACCCATCTGCGACATCGATTGAGCTTCCCAGGTCTTCCCCTTTCAGCCTCCTCGTATGATCGATGCCGTCAGGATCTATTTTGGGATCATGGGATCGGACAATTTACGTACGCTCACCAAGCACGTTGCACCAGATCCATACAGTGCCGCGGTTGGAGGATTCGTCAAACTATTGAGGGTGAAGAGACATCTCACAGTGATTTTTTTATGGTGACACCGTTGTAGATACCACTAATTGTCCGGAGAATTGTCGGATGGATCGCCAGCTACTACCAGCAGGTGAGATGTCGTACGAGACGTCTTTATTGATGGTTCAGGATGTTGTTGCGGCGATTGTGGGCACGAATTCGAATTGTGACGTCACTCAGATGTGGGAGGTGATAGCATAATTCGTCACGTCGGCGCTGATCGCAATCGCAGATTCAGGACGAACTGAGACAGTACAAGTTGGATTTCTGGGAGGCCTGGAAAGCCGCTGCCTCATCCGGTAAACAATCGTTCGATCTACAAAGATCACGTGACTTACTCGTGTGCAGATGGTACAGCGATGGATGGCATCATAGCGCCTGTACAGTCTATTCCCCCCGGTGCCCACGGAAGCACAGAGAAGACTGGTGAGTCGAAATGATCGTGACGTCATAACACGTCACAGGATCAGCAGCCGTGTCGACTTACCTGTACAACATGTTGGACTACACTGCGGGAGTTGTACCTGGTTCCGTTGTAGATCCATCGGTGCGTATAGAGTTCGAATCGATGAGTGGATCTCATTCGTCTGTAGAAGGACAAGCCAGCGGACGAGAAGTGGTTCGCCGGTAGATCGAAGGGTTGGTTGGAATCCATCGTCTACAAGTGTGTAGATGGATGTCACGTTCATTGTTGACTGTGGTAGGTACTATGATCCCGTAGTGCAGGAGAATGCTCCTCTGGGCATTCAAGTCGTGGGAAGAATGAGTGAAGAAGAGAAAGTACTTCACATGATGAAGGTGAAGAGATGAAAGGAATGAAGTTGATGAGGTGATAGGTGGTGGACGAAGCATTAGAGAAGCACGGCAGGAAGAAGGCTGTACTCACAAGTTGAATGGAAGATAAAGGATGAGATATCCAGTGCATCTACTGTTGTTGTTGATTTTGGTATTGATCTCGTGATATAATACGATGCCGAGGACGACAGTAAAAAGCTAGGACCCGATGGCTTCCTGATGGTTGCTTACCTTACAAGTTCGGCAGAGGATCGTGGGTGATCAAACAGAGGGGAGGCACACTTGAGCCTGCCGTTTGCATCTACAACGTAATTTTGATTTATTCTCACATATCGGTCATTCTCCATCCCCCAAAAGGCAATGAACCGAATTCTTTTGAGATTCAACTTCGCGTCACTGCCGATCACCTCTTCGTGATTTCACACAAGAAGACACATTCAACTGTCGATGTTCGATTTATTCAAGAGATCTACTCATTCTGTATTTTTCCACCGTTAAAATCACTGTTTGACGGTTCTTTTCGATTGTCATCAAGTCTAGCGGGAAACACTATAGAACTGATAAAAACTGGGTAAATCGAGGAAAAAAGGTCGAATATCGTGGATCATCGGTTATTCAAGGTTAAAACGTTAAAAGAGCTCCCCGACCGGGAATTGAACCCGGGTCCCAAGCGTTCTGCGCTATAGATAGCGTTCTGACAGGCTTGTATACTCACCACTATACTATCGAGGAGTGGTGACGTGCTGCCCCGGAAATCATACGGATTACAAGCAAACAGCTGAACATACACGACTTTTCTTCCGATGAAAAAAGGGTTTTCTGAGGCCCTGCGGTGGTCAGAAGATGCAGGAGGGAGCGACGGAGTCACGGGTCGAGATGACTGGAACATGAGGTCGAATGAGGTGCTATCACCGACACAGACAGCCGAGTGAGCCTCCTTCGAAGTGAGAAAGCAGGTTGGCGGTGCCTGAGATCGATCGTCTACCTGATTTGATGGTCTTGTGAGATAATCCGATATGCAACTGGACATCAGAGGTCTGTAAATGTACAGCTGCCCGAAAGTCTGTTTTTAAAGGATAAAACTTCCCATCTCGACGTGTCTGGGCAGGTCATTTGTACTCCCAAGATTGCGACTTCTCGGATGCATGATAGCTCCTTCTCGACATCCTCAGACGTCCGTTCTTCCTGAATGCAACTTCAGAATGCATTCTAAAATGACTTTAAGAACTCACAGAGAAGAGCCAAACCAAATGGTCCTCTAACTCACAGAGGTGTCCGTCGAATCCAACTGTTAACTAAGGATGATTTCTGTTCCTCGATGCTTCCCTCCCGTTAACGGTTTTCAAATTTTGAAGTGCTGCTCTACAAGCAATTTAAATTGTCAAACAAGTAAACTTCATATTGACATCTGACAATTACAATAGGTCAGTTGTCTGGATCCTGTCATAAACTCCTTCGACAAATGAGAGCAGCTGTTGTCCTCCTCCTCATCGCGGCCTGTCTGGCACAGAATCCACCCTTCAAGTGCAACTATGCTGTTCAGGATGTCAACGGCAAGTTCTCTGATCAGATCAAGATCATTCCTTACGGTCAGGCCCAGACATTCCAGATCTCGTGCACCGGCAACCTCACCCAGGGACACAGAGTCTACACCGTGAGTTCCATCCTCGTGCCCTCCGATCGTGACATCAAACAGATGTCTTCCAACGAATCTCCAGATAACTTCGAGAGAACCGATCTGGGATTCTTCATCACCGAGTACAGACCGTCCATCAATGTGACCGTCACCGCACGCAGCCCCGATGCCTTCTTCCTCTATGTCGGAGAGAACCAGGAGAGCCGTGCCGATTTCGATCTGGGATTTCTCAACAGACCCATCACTCCATCCAAGCTCAACATCACCGGAGATGGTCTCACATTGACTGCCGTTGGACCTCTCGCCAAATCACCCGTCACGATCAACATCAGATACACCACATTCAACTTTGGACCTCGCTACATCACCAAGACCCTGGTGAATCATCATCTCACGATGGAAAGACACGACGATTGACTCACGAACTAGTTCTACCCCAATGGACTTCAGAAGGGAGCCACCATCTCTACTCCCAACAACAGCGGAGCGACTTACTTCCCCATCTCATACACATGGTCCGTTGAGAACAATCAGTTCCCAGGCACGACACAATTCGTTGGAGGTGCTGCCCTCAAGGTCCGCCAGTGGTAGACGAATAAATCGAACTCTCACAAAAACTCTTTCATCATCGCGATGTGAAGAGATGCATCGTCTCGTGTGATGTCGTCACCCTCCTTCACAAGAGTCTTGCACGATATAAAATGCAATTTATTCTTACATCCACTTGAAGGTGAGAGGCGATCCTTCTTCTCCATCTGCAATGAGATTTTCCCCATGCACTCTGACCGCCTTCCCGTTCACCTTCGCCTTCAGAACAAAGACGTCCTTGTCTGTCTCCACGATCGAGAAGGTCTCCCAGGTGTCGGCTCTGAACGATCTCGCCCTCAATGCCGATCTACCTGCATCCTCCGCCGTGACAAACTTCTTCTGAACCACGTCAAAGAGGGTGGCTGCTCCTCCCTTCACGTTGACCTCGTAGACGGACGCCTTACGGCCCGTACGTAGGACCGGGTCTCCGGCCGTGCTGGAGAAGTATTGTCCGGCAGCGGTGGCCACGGTTACGTTACGTACGAATACGTCGGGCACGGTGGAGGTGGGGAGGGATGAAGAAGTCGTAGGAATGGGTCCGTTAGAGGTGGTGCCCGTGTTGATGATCTGGCCGGGCAAGTGATCCACTGGACCGTGGAGACCTGTCAGACGTCAGGCTGACGAGTCACGTGACTTGTCCCACCGATCTCTTCTTCGTAGACGGCGGGGTAGATGAGATCTTGCGGCCCCGGGTGATTCTGTCCGGGGGGGGCACCCAACGTGTTGATCGGACAATTGTCGGGGCCCACGCAAAGTCTGTGGGCCTCTCCCAGGGCAGTCAAATTGGTCCAACCGTTGACAAAGTCACCGTGGAAGCTGTAGCCGGTGTTGTCTCCATTGGAGAGGTAAAAGTTTCCGAGATCGGTGATGGCCGATGTGTCGAAGAAGAATTCAAAGAAGATGGAGATGAGGGCGATGGGGTGGGAGGGTGGACATACACCGCCGTCGAAATCTGCACTGGGATAGGCCATCTGTGGGGGTGAGATGAAATGGTGAGATGTGAAGAGGATGAGATGATTACGTGATCGCGGTGGTTGGGAGAGTCTAAATTCTTTCCGTCCCCTGCAAGAGGTTAGACGATGATGATGGAGGGTGGTGTGGTGATGCAACTTACAGCACGAGGGGAAGTAAACTTCGGCTCGGATGAACTGGTTGCAGATCTGAGTTGGGAAGCCGTGGTACTCTTTCGAATAACCGTTGCCCATGCACATCATTTGGACGGCTCGGTCTCTCACGTCGCTCTCGTTGTAGGTTCTGCATCAGATCAATGCGAATCGATAGAATATGCATCCATACCTCTTGTTCGGATCACCTGCAATGACTCGAAGTCCTTTTGGAAATGCGGCAGCATATGTTCCTCTGGGACAGTATTTCTGATCAGCTATGTAATCGCAGGCCCTGTTTTGGTAGTAGATGGCCTTTATAGACATCAATCCGATGTTCATTTCGAATGCAATCTTCACCGTTCCAGTCCAAGGTACGAGTGAATATCTTCCTTGTGCGTCTTTGTGGTACAGGTGAGGCACCCAGTAGTTGCTGTGGTCCAACTTCTTATCGCAGGTAGTGGCCGTGGCGATTTCGGCCGAATTGGCATCACTCATGGTGCGTCTGAAGGCATTTCCTCCCACGATGGCGTGAACATGCTGTGAAGGCTTTCCAGGAGTTACGATCGGATCGGCTCTCTGGATGGTGAGAGGAGCACAGTTTACAACGAAGGTGTCTCCAGCGAGTGCGACTGACAGACTCAATAGGAGGACTGATAGGGTCAGCCTCATGCTGTTGTTCTTTGCTGCAGGTGGGGGAATGATGAGACAACCGCTACTGACGAATGACATGGACAGACACGGTTGTGACCTTTCCGTAACATAATATATAAGTTTATTATTAATAACGACCGAGTATCGTGCAATGATGTAAAACGTACATCTCAACACATATACAATGAATCACGGATTTTTTGATCATCACGGTGCACCGATGCATCAAGGACCTCTACTCACCATGCCTATCCATACACATCGAACTGCGTTGTATACACCGCGGTGTGTATGTCTAAAGGTTCCCCACTATATGTACCGTAACGTGATACCTCGAACCACACAGCTCAAGATCAGGTCTGTTATAGAGAACGATTTAGGCCATTGTGGTGCTCGCTTGACTCGGTAAATTCTACCTCTTTTCACGCTCTGTGTGCTTCTATGTATCCTCCCGCTACGTTCGTCCCGTCAAATCGGATGATATCTCCTCCATCATTTCATCCTACGGCACCGGGTGCAGTGTATCTCCCACGCAGCAAAGCACAAGTGGTACTTTGGTTTCTGATAAATGGAATAGAATCTACCGTAATTCCGATGCGTAAGAATACTGAGAAATCGTGACATGTGCGCCGTTTAAATATCCGAGAAGCTGCGGCCGACCTGTGGAGATCATCGCGCGATGTCAGACTATGGTGTGGGTGCCTCGTGGGGTTGAACCTCGTGATGACCTGTCACTGTGGGTGGCTAGAAGCTGCCATCCATAGGATATTTCGAGGGGGAAATGGAAGAACTTGACCGCGAGTGTTTGTTTAAAGGTGATAGAAACAGAGTGGACAAGCTAATTACACGACCTTTGCCAGACAAGCACAATCAATGAGGAACTTCCAGTCTCGAATTTATACGGGCTGACTTATTCAACTCCAAACTTCAACGATTGAAGAGACGGATCAGGGCAGAGCGTATAGCGTTCGAGCATTCCTCCGTCTTGAAGACGACAAACAGAGACTGTGATGGAAGAGGAGTAAGCATGAGCGAAAGAGAAGTACCATGGCCTTCTCAGCCATCAACTTACCAATCTGGGAATGGCATCAGCGTACGATCCTCTAATAGCTCAATCAATGATCAATCGATATCGACAGAAAACACGTGGCCACGTGATGGTTATACGAAGATATAGACTTGGTCATCATTTGGCTTCATGTGCATCTTTGACTTCTCATCGGCCACAGCCCCCAATATTGAGATTCATAAATGATTGAATTTTATGTGTTCGATTCAGTGCCATGGAGAAGATGATCTATGAATTTGGGGTGATCAGAAGCAGCAATATCTGAACGTGTGTTAGACACCTTCGATGATGATGGTGTCACTCACCCCAAGGGCTATCAGGGCGACAGACGTGACGACAGATGCGATGAACCATCCCGTGAATAACCCTCTCGACATCTTACCCTCTTTGGTGCAGTATACCCAAATGCAACCAACAATGCAGGCTAGTTCTCCCACTGTGATAGGTATCGTCTCATCATCCACAGAATCCGCCTCCGTTCGATCGTCGATGACCTCATACTTTCTGCGATGTCCGACCATCTTCAAGATGTAGAACGTTCCATTGACGATGAGGATGAGACCACCCGTTATGAAACAGAAGATGGCACACAACAAGAGGTAGGACTCAGTCATGTTCGCGTTCAGATCGGCTTCTGAACGTCATCTTTCCTTGAAGAATTACGAGCGGCTGATGTAGCGTC